CCAGCCCAGCCCAGCCCCGGGAGGCAGACGGCTCCGGGCTCCGGACTGGTCCCCATCTCATTCTCTGCTCCAAACTTTGCGTTAGTTCAGAGACTGCAAAAGGCTGATGAGGCACCGGAGAGGAAGTCCTCTGCTTGCTCTTGAGGAGTAAGCACAGTGCTTAGGAGCTTAGGGCAAAGAGCAAAGCAGCGAGCAAACAAGGGGAAAAAATGATTGCCTGGGAAGTGGTCCACACAGTATTCCTCCTGGTGGCTCTTCTTCGTTCTTCCCTAGCTGGAGATGGGACCCCCCAGTCGGAGAGCAGGGCTGAGGAGATTCCGGAGGGGGCATCCACGTTGGCTTTTGTGTTTGATGTGACTGGCTCCATGTATGATGATTTAGTTCAGGTTATTGAAGGGGCTTCCAAAATTTTGGAGACGTCTTTGAAAAGACCCAAGAGACCTCTTTACAACTTTGCTTTGGTGCCCTTCCATGATCCAGGTAAGGGAAATATTCTCTTTATTTGTTGTGATTCATAACTCTATTACGTTTTATGCTGTGCATTTGTTTTATTGTCAGAAAATTTCAAAAGCCTTTTTTTTTTTTTTAAATATGCAGCGGAATACAGATGTAACAAAGAGTTGCTTTCTGGCATCTGGGTTTGCTCTCATACCTCCATAGCACTCAGCTAGGCTTAGCTCACAGAGTAGATGGCTTGTTTAGGGAGATTAAAGAGTGGTGCCCTGACCTGGAAAAGCGGTCGTCTGAAGATCAGACCCAGGAATCTGTAGCAGCAACAACAGCAAACGCAGAGTTAACTGGCCTGCATTTTAAAGCTAAAGACTCTTAATTGCAAAGGCAGACTGGAACAGAGGCATGGAATTCAACAGCAGGGCACACTCTGAGGATAACTTCACATAAGAGGGAAACAAACCCGCTGTGTGACACACCGGCAAGTCTGTAAATAGTAACTAGGAAAGGAACTGAAGGCATGACAATGAAAGACAGAAGCCATTCATTTCTTAACTGGATCTATTCATCTTTGCACCGGGTTACATCATTGGTTAGATTCACAGACGTGAGTAAACAGTACGCCGGTGTCTCAAGCAGTACAAATGCATGTAATTTGCTATGTCTGTGCTCTTGAAAGGTAGTTGGAGAAAAATAACTCTATGTTATGCCCCGAAGCTGTGGGTTTCTGCTGCTGCACTGTAACATGATCCTATTTACTCTTTTCAGTTTCTTTTTAAAGTAGCACCTCTCGGTGAGACTCATAGGAGCCCCCATTGTCATTGTCGAGGGCAGCATTACAGGGGGAAACCCCGGGGCTCGCTGTCTTGTGTCCACCTGAGTTTCATTAGCGCAAGTAGCTGCTCAGTGGAAGAAATAAAACAGTGGTTTCTTAAAAGCCCTCCCCCCACTGCTCTCCCACGTTCCCCCTGCTTTAGAAACTCCCTCTCCACTAGACTTTGGCATAGCCTCTTTCACAATGAGAGCATGATGTTGAAGATCTCAGGTTTTTTTTCTTCCTTGTGCATCTGCCAAACATATTAAAACTGTAATTATTGCTAGTTATTAAATGTGTTATATTTCAGCTATTTAAAAAGATATCATTGGGATAAATTGAGAGGGAGGTAGAACTTTCTGGAATTGTCTTGTTCTTTGACGACAACAATAAACTGTCCTGCTCTTCTGTAGTATACACATGCATTTCAACACTGATTAGTTATGAGATGCTTTATCATTGGAATCAAGAGTCAGATGGTCCTTTGCTGGGTCTCCTGTCTCAGGAAGACACTTCAAATATCATGATGTTTCAATTTATAAGATACCAAGATGACACTTATAATGCAGTCCAACGTTTTTGATATTTTGGAATAGCTTAAATATATTTCCTATATAGGGATGAGTCTGAAGTTGGCTCAAATATAAAGTAAAAACTGATTTTGTTAATTTATACCACAGTTTGTTTGCCTCCATCCAAAAAACATTAGGACATTATGTTGCTGGAAAAAATATAAAATATGTTTCATTTCATAAATGGAAGCTGAATTGCCATAGTTTGGAGTGATGTGGAAATATTTTGTAACAAATTGTATAAAGTGTGCTGCCTCCCAGCTAGTATCCAGAGAGAAGGTCTGCACACTGTGTGTAGTCGATTTTCCTATAATTTAGCAATCAGAATCCAAAGTGCAGGAAACTTGGAATGTTAATTGCAGGTGACTAATACAATTAGAGCTTTTTTTGAATTAAACTGTATGAGAAAATAATTAGTAATTTAAACTTGTTTAATAAAATTGTGTTTATAACAACGTGTCCATATTGATTATACTTTTCTTAATGATTAAAAGTGGAGAATTGTTAATAGTTTGTATTATCCAAGAGTTTTAAAAATTTTTTTTTGCAGAGAAATGGAAGTTAAAATATACCATTAACATTTAACTTAAAATTCACTTTAACAGATTATTAAGATTGTGTAATTTTTCTGATTTCCTCTTCATGTGTTTGTGTGTGTGTGTGTGTGTGTGTGTTCATTGAGAATTTTTTTTCTATTTCAGTTGACGATCAGGATGCAATGACAGGAAGGACCTGGAATGGGGAGTGATTATCTTACTGACATTAGGGAAAAGTCAATTTACTTTTTTTTTGAAGCTCAGTTTCAATAACAAAGTGAGAGAACTGTATTTGAGCATACCTAAGGACACTTCTAACTGTGATTATTTGTTTTGCATATGGCTATTATTTTTGTAGTCTGTAATGCATATTTGTGCAGCTGGATGAAACAACTAATGTAGAAAGAAATAACATCTAGCATTGAACTTGAGTAATGACACTAACCAGCTGAGTGCTTGCTCTGTCTATATCTACCATCCCATGTAGCTAGATAAAATAATGGGTGAATCTGGGGAGACAGTCTGAGGCTTTTGAGTAAAGCCTTTAGGTCTTTGGAGATGTCATGTGCGTTCACATGACAATTCAGGGAAGGATGTGTGGCTACAGGTAAATGATAGTTTGAAAATACATGGGAAACATAGATCCTAATCCTGGGCAGTGTGGTGATAAAGCTCATTAGAATATGTTCATGCAGGAAAGGGCGGGAAAGTTCCAGTAACACCAGCACCTCATGGGGAAGGGTTGCAGCTGCCCTGGATTGCCTTAGTTCATGGAGGCAGAAACTGGCCTTTTAATGACAATTAGCTGCATTGAAGGAGCCTTTTAATTCCCTGAGTCATGTTTCCTGCATTAATTTTAATTAACTAATTTACTTTTGAGACATAGTCTTTTATGTAGCCCTGGCTAGCATGGATTTCATGATGTTAGCAAGGCTGGTCTTGAACTCATGGATGATACTTCTGCATCTGATTCTTGGTGCTGGGTATTCCAGGTGTGCACTGGAACACCTGACTACTGTGTGAGTTTGTAATAGCTTTGTTGATGGATATTTCCCTTATCAAACCATTTGGTCATTTATCATGTATAAGTTAATGATTTCTATTATGTTTACAGATAGGTGACACTATCATCAGTTGGCTTTAAACTATTTTCCTTGCCACCAGAGAAGTCCTGTACCACCAGGCAGTGGTGGCACATGCCTTTAATCCCAGCCTTCCGGAGGTAGAAGCAGACAGATCTCTGAGCTAGAGGCCAGCTTGCTCTACAGAGTGAGTTCCAGGACAGCCAGGATTACACAGAGAAACCCTGTCTCAAAAAAAAAAAAAAAACAAAAAACCCACCACCAACAACAAAAATGTCCTATGCCATTTAGTTGTCAATTTTCTATCCACTGTTTAAAGTATTATTGTACTGAGTAAGCCACTAACCCACCTTTCTGTCTCTCTGGGTTTTCCTGTTCTGGGTTTACACATTATAGATATTATTTATAATTATATATGGTCTTCTGTGACTGGATTACTTAGGTCAACATAACACTTTTAAGGTTCATTCATATTGAAGCATGTGCCGATTCATCATTTCTTTCTACAGCCAAATTTTATTCCATGGTATAATATATGACTTATACCATATCCACTGGTCTGTGATGGAGATTTAGATATTCCCTACCCTTTTATGAATCACCGTTATGAATATCCACATACACATTTCTGTGTAGACATGCTTGCATTTCTTCAAGTGTATATTGAGAAGTGGAACCTCCGGGTTATGATAACTATATATGTCATTGCTGAGGGGTGGGCAATATACTGTCCGAAACAGTTATAACACTTTGTGATCCCACTAGCTGTATGTGTGAGATCCAGTTTTTCCATAGCTTCATCAATTATTAGAATATACATTCATTTTTGCTGTTTTTAAACTACTTGGATTTCACTCCCATTTCCTCTAAACAAACTGAGGAGAGCTGATGCTCTCTCCTGACTGCAGCCCCTCTGGTCACTCAGTGTCTTGTTTCCCCCTTTCTCTGTGAGGCAGTTTCCAGAGACAGTAGGAGTGAGAACGGACAGTGTGTTTTTAATGAGTTGGACATCTCTTTCTTTTCTTGAACACTTACATTTCACTCTCTGGAATATCTCCAACTGGTCTGTGTACTTTGAGCCCTTGCTGGTTTCAGGCAATGCTTAATGCACTGAAAAGAAACCCCAAAAGAAGACTCCTACTCTCATGGGCTTTGCAGTCTATTGTAGGAAGAGGGGCACAGGCAATAAAGGATATGATTAATAGACACACAAGAACCTGAAGCCTATGATCGCTATGGAGAAAACAAAAAAATCAGGAATAGGGTATGAGGAGCTCAGAGTGAATTTGACGGTGTTAGAATTTCAAATATGGTGGCTGGGAACCTTACAAAAGAAATGATTTTATTTTAACAAATTCTTGAAGGAGAGAGCATTGAGCATGTCTTTTATTGACAGATGAAAATTAGTAAAGCGTCCTTGTGACAGGAGTATCTTGACATGTTTAACAACCATGAGGCATCTAAGTGTTTTTGACACAGAAAGTGATAGAAGGGAATTTGCAAATGAGGCCTGCCATATGATAAGAATGGTTCAGGAAAGGACTCATAGTCTCCCATGACTTTGGTTTTTTTTTCCATGAATGATATGGAGAGCTACTTTAGTTTTATTTATTAATTTATGTGTATGCATGTTTTGTCTTCATGTAAGTCTGTGCACCATGTGCAGAGCATTAAATTCTCTGGAACTGGAGGTGTAGATGGTTGTGAGCTGCCATGTGAGTGCTAGGAATCAAACCCATGTCCTCTGGAAGAGCAGCCAGAGTTCTTAACCACTGAGCCATCTCTTCAACTCTCAACTATAGCGTTCTAAATGGATCAGTGACAGAATCTGACATACGTCTACAGCATCATTGTATGGGTAGGTAGTAATGGAAAGCAGATAAAGGCTAGAAATGGCTCAGTTAGAAGACTGTGAATTCCTTGTGTGGAGTTGATAGCTATTGGTGTTTTGAGAAATAGAGTTTATTTATATTTTGAGTATGAAACCAAGAAAATTTGATGATTCACTGGATGTGAGTTACAAGGC